GCAGCTTTCCTTCCTTCCTTCCCTCCTTCCCTCCTTTTCTTTCTTTTCTTTTTTCCTTCTTTCCTTCCTTCCTTCCCTCCCTCCCTTCCTTCCTTCCTTCCTTCTTCTTTCAACAGAGTTTCATTCTTGTTGCCCAGGCTGGAGTACAATGGTGCGGTCTTGACTCACTGCAACCTCCGCCTCCCAGGTTCAAGCGATTGTTCTGCCTCTCCCAAGTAGCTGGGATTACAGGCACCCACCACCATGCCCAGCTAATTTTTGTATTTTTAGTAGAGATGGGGTTTCACCATGGTGGACAGGCTGGTCTTGAACTCCTGACCTCAGGTGACCCGCCCGCCTCGGCCTCCCAAAGTGCTGGGATTACAGGCGTGAGCCGCCGTGCCCGGCCGGGTGTGCGTTCTTCTGTATGGTATATGTTGATAAAAATTTTACCCAAACCAAACACAATCTTGAGCTTTAATTCATCTTCCTGCCACGCAAAACTCCCTGAAAACGTCACCGCCTCTCCTGGCTTCAAACCGTCTGACTCCTCCAAACCCTCAGTGCCTGGGTGACAGGCACCGTCCACCTCTCCCAGCTCCCTCTGACTCCTCCAAACCCTCAGTGCCTGGGTGACAGGCACCGTCCACCTCTCCCAGCTCCCTCCTCTGACTCCTCCAAACCCTCAGTGCCTGGGTGACAGGCACCGCCCACCTCTCCCAGCTCCCTCTGACTCCTCCAAACCCTCAGTGCCTGGGTGACAGGCACCGCCCACCTCTCCCAGCTCCCTCTGACTCCTCCAAACCCTCAGTGCCTGGGTGACAGGCACCGTCCACCTCTCCCAGCTCCCTCCTCTGACTCCTCCAAACCCTCAGTGCCTGGGTGACAGGCACCGCCCACCTCTCCCAGCTCCCTCCTCTGACTCCTCCAAACCCTCAGTGCCTGGGTGACAGGCACCGCCCACCTCTGCCCGCTTCCTTTTCTGCTCTCAGCTTTAGCCGCAGGTCATTTTCTCAGTTTCCTGACCTTACGCAGCCGGCCTCCAGGCTTCTGACCAAGCTGTTCTCTGTGCCTGCAATCCCCTTCCTGTTCCTTCTCATGCTAATTCCCACTCACCCTGCAAATCCTAGCAGACGCGGATGACCACACCTGCCTCCATACTCCCCCCGTACCTCGGACGTCCCCCACCAGGGCTGTTATTTTGTGAGGTCCTTGTCTCTCTTGTCATTGTCTGGCTTGTGTTTCCCTCATGAGCCCAGGAGTTCCATGAAGGCAGTGACCATGTCTCCCTTACTCTCTTATTCCCGAAATATTGCCTGGTACTGAGTAAATGCTCCATCAATACTGAATGAATGAATGAATGAATTGGCCCCACCCTTAACACTTCAATCTAATGGTGACCACACTTTTTTTTTTTGAGACGGAGTCTCGCTCTGTTGCCCAGGCTGGAGTGCAGTGGCACGATCTCGGCTCACTGCAAGCTCCGCCTCGCGGGTTCAAGCGATTCTCCCGCCTCAGCCTCCCGAGTAGCTGCGATTACAGGCACCCGTCACCACGCCCAGATAATTTTTGTATTTTTAGTAGAGACGGGGCTTCACCGTATTGGCCAGGCTGGTCTCGAACTCCTGACCTCAAGTGATCCGCCCACCTCGGCCTCCCAAAGTGCTGGGATTACAGGCATGAGCCACGGCGCCTGGCAATGACCAGACTTTTGACTGCACCAATGAAACGAGGATCCAGAAAGGACTCTCTAGTGACGCTGGAAACACTGAGCTCTGTTTCCCCTGCAACTCTCACGACACAAAACAGTCCAGTGACCCCAGGTGAGTGGGGCTTTCCCTCCACACCAGGCAAGCAGTCCTTAGGCAGCCAACTGCAGCTGAGGGTCCTCACTTCAACTCAATTCCAACATGCTCCATTCGGAGGTAGCATCAGACCTCACAGGTCGAGGTCTCAGTCCCACAAGACCGTCCCCCACTTCTGAGGCCAATCACAAGACCCTAGTTATTTTACCTGTGCTTGTGACCAACCAAATATATCAGGGTTCCTGTGACTCCCTTCTTGGGTTCGATTTATTTGCTAGAGTGGCTCAGAGAACTTAGAGAAGCACTTATTTACATTTACTGGTTTATGATAAAGGACATTACAGGCTGGGTGCCTTGGCTCATGTCTGTAATCTCAGCACTTTGGGAGGCAGAGGCAGGCGGATCACGAGGTCAGGAGTTCAAGACCAGCCTGGCCAACATTGGTTAAACCCCGTCTCTACGAAAAATACAAAACTCAGCTGGGCGTGGTGGTGCGCACCTGTAATCTCAGCTACTAGGGAGGCTGAGGCAAGAGAATCGCTTGAACCCAGTGGTTGCAGTGAGCCGAGATCATGCCCCTGCACTCCAGCCTGGGTGGCAGAGCCAGACTCTGCCTCAAAAAAAAAAAAAAAAAAAAAGGATATTACAAAGGATACAGATGAGGAGATGTATAAGGCAAAGTGGGGGGTGAGGGGCAAAGCTTCCATACCCTCTCCGGGGCTACCCTCCAGAAACTTCCATGTGTTCCACTACCCAGAAGCTCCCCAAACCCTGTCCTTTTGAGTGTTTATGGAGGCCTCATTACATAGGCATGATTGATGGAATCATTGGCCACTGGTGATCAACTAAACCTTCAGCCCCTCCCCCTCCCGGAAGATGGGGGTGTGCGGCTGAAAGTCCAACCCTCTGATCCTGCTGGGGTCTCTCCAGTGACCAGCCCCCCTTTTGAAGCTATCTGGGGGCTGCCGGTCACCTGTCAACTCATTAGCAAAGAAAAAGACATCTATTACTTTGGAGATTCCAAAGATTTTAGGAGTATATGCCAGAAAATGGGACCAAATATTTATTTTGAGACCAAATACATTTTTATGTGTTATACTGTAAAATATGTATTCAGTCTTGGAATACCAAATACACATTTCACAGTATCAGAGGATCCACGTCTGCCTGGCTGTCGGGGTCATGGCCCAAGTCCCAGGGCCTGTGAGGCTGCCTCAGGAGCCACCACGACCCACCCATCCTCTATCAAGCAAAGCTCCTGCCCTGCCCAGCCAGGAACCCTGAGCTCCTCACCTGGCTCTGCCCCAGTGCCTGTTTGAACCCTGGGCTCACTTGCTCCGGTATGCTGGGTATGAAGGAAACCCTTGACCACTGACCAGAAGCAAAGCAATTGGATGGGCTGGGGTGGGGTGAGGAGGTCACCATCCTAGGCTGGGCCTGCAGTGGGAGAGTATACACAGGAAAAGCCCTACGACCACCCAGAAAAAAATGGGGGAGAAATCACTGCTTTGGATTGAAATCAATGACAGAGACGTAACAGCAATATGTAATACATAAACCTTGACCAGATCTGGCTTTAAAACAACACAGCTCTAGAAGTCATTTCGGGGCTGGGCACGGTGGCTCACACCTGTAATCCCAGCACTGTGGGAGGCCGAAGTGGGCAGATCATTTGAGGTCAGGAGTTCAAGACCATCCTGGCCAACATGGCGAAACCCTGTTTCTACTAAAAATACAAAAAATTAGCCTGGCGTGGTGGCGCGCACCTGTAGTCCCAGCTACTTAGGAGGCTGAGGCAGGAGAATCGCTTGAACCCAGGAGGCGGAGGTTGCAGTGAGCCAAGATCACGCCATTGTACTCCAGCCTGGGTGACAGAACAAGACTGTCTCCAATAAATAATAAGTCATTTTGGTGACAACATGGGAAATTGAAATGAGCCTCAGATCTCATGACCCTTTATGCCAGAGCTTCTCCTAACTACAGACATACTCCTACATCAGCACATGGCCACCATCGCCATCTGAGGGAATGCATATTTTACTTACTTCTTTTTTGTTTTTGAGACAGGGTCTCGCTCTGTCACCCAGGCTGAACTGCAGTGGCACAATTGTGGTTCACTGCAGCCTCGACTCCCCTGGGCTCAGGCAATTCTCTCACTTCAGCCTCCCAAGTAGCTGGGACGGACTACAGGCTTAAGCCACCATGTCCGGCTGAATTTTTAATGTTTTTTGTAGACAGGGTCTCACTATGTTACCCAGGCTGGTCTTGAACTCCTGGGCTCATGTGAGCCACCCACCTTGGCCTCCCAAAGTGCTGGGATTACAGGTGAGCCACTGCACCCGCCAACCTTTGTATATTAAACTCTACAACTTGCCTTTTGCAACTCACAGTATGTTTCCAGATGGATCCAGGTAAACAACCATTGCACTGGCTTCATTCAGGGGGTCTGCTTTTAGTATAGCATTGTATGAGTTATATCAGTATTTTTCCCATTTTCCTAATGAGGAATATTGTCAGTCTTCCATGATTCCAAACAGTCCTACCACAAACATTTTTTGTTTGTTTATTTTTCTTTTTCTGAGACAGAGTTCTCGCGCCGTCACCCAGGCTGGAATGCAATGGCACGATCTCGGCTCACTACAGCCTCCACCTCCTGGGTTCAAGCAATTCTCCTGCCTCAGCCTCCCAAGAATCTGGGATTACAGGTGCCCGCCACCACTCCCAGCTAATTTTTTTTTTTAGTGGAGACAGGGTTTCGCTAGGTTGGCCAGCCTGGTCTCGAACTCCTGACCTCAGGTGATCCACCGGCCTCAGTCTCCCGAAGTGTTGGGATTACAGGCGTGAGCCACGGTGCCAGGCCCAGTTTTTTCTTTGTTATTTTTTGTTTCCAAATGTTCTATATTGAACATGTGTTACTTCCATAAGGAACAAAAGAGCCTTAATATGCATTATTTTAAAATTGTCTTTAAGTCCACCCTCCCCCTGGGCAATGGAACAGGGAGAGGCCCAGTGAGGCACGGGGCTGGGGTTCCGTGGACCCCACAGACTGGCCGAATGCCCACAGCCTCTCTCACGCCTTCTCTCTTTCTCCTGCATGCCCTTCTGAAAGAGAAAGTTCCTCTCCTGACTGTGGGGTGGGGTGCCATGGCCGTCCCTGGGGCCCATCTCAGGTTCCCCGGAAGCCCCCTCAGTCTGAAGGCCTCCTGCCCTACTCACCAGGTGTGGTTGGTGCCAGGGTCTTGGTGCAGAAGGGAGCTGAGCACGAAAGGGGCACCTCCCTTGGGCGTGAGCCAGGGCCGGGCCACATCCACATTGAAGGCTGCCAGCGGGGCCAGGCCTGGGGGGAAAAGAGGAGCGTTTAATGAAAGAGGCCTTTTACTCCCATGATTCCAGCAAATCCTGTGGCGTCTTTAACCCTGTTTTACAGCTGAGAAAAGTGAGACTCCCCAAGGATCTTTGTGTGTGAGAGAGAAAGACTAGACGCAGGTGTATCTGACCCAGAGCCTCTGATTCTCCTACTAAACCAAGCTGTACCAGTACCCGAGCCCCCGTCCTCCAAGAAGCCACGCCTAGCTCTCCCCAAAGAAGCACTTCCTGCCTCCTCACGTCAGCTCCGCACCGGACACGCGGAACGTACTCACATTACCGCGTCTTGTACCGAAGTGACAGTAGACTGTGAGCCCCAGGAAGAGGGCCTGCGTATGTTCTATGTACCCCTTCAAGCGACCCAAGAGAAAACATGTGTCCCCAAAACTGCCTGCACAAGAATGTTTTATTCGGAAGAGCCCCAAACTGCAAAGAACCCGAATGTCCATCAACAGGAGAATATGGAAAAACCCACTGTGGTGTATTCCTACGATAGGATCCTACTCAGAGGTAAAGAGGAATGAACAACAGATAGAGCAGCGTGACGAATCTCAAAAATCATTATGCTGGCCGGGCGCGGTGGCTCACGCCTGTAATCCCAGCACTTTGGCAGGCCGAGGCAGCTGGATCGCTGGAGGTCAGGGGGTTTGAGACCAGCCTGGCCAACCTGATGAAACCCCTGTCTCTACTAAAAACGAAAAAATTAGCTGGGCGTGGTAGTACGTGCCTTTAATCCCAGCTACTCGGGAGGCTGAGGCAGGAGAATTGCTTAAACCTGGGAGGCGGAGGTTGCAATGAGCCGAGATTACACCACTGCACTCCAGCCTGAGCAACAGAACGAGACTCCGTCTCAAAACAACAACAACAATCATTATGCTGAGTGGCAGAAGGCCTTACATCTTTCTTCTTTCTTCTCATTTATTTGTTTTTTTTTTTTTTAATTTATTTACAGCAGAATAGGCTCACGAATTCTATTTTATTCAATGGTTATAATCTGTTATCACCATATTGGTTCTTAAATTGTCCCTTATTTGGCCTTTCCATGAAGGAATAATTAGTATTGGATTAATTATTTCACCATAAACAACTAGAACACTAGACAAAACGGATAAAACGTTTTCAGACATTTGACAACAGGCAGCGCAGGGCAGTGATCTCTAGAAAACACGAACAAATAACACGAGCCCTGTCATTACCCTCAGCTTTCTTTCTGGAGGAATTTTATGACCTTGATGCAGGGAAAGGGAATTCAAGCAGAGCACAGCAGATTTGTTGAGCGAAGGCAACAAAAATCATATTGTATAACTCCATTTATATGAGGTTCCAGAACCAGCAAAACTAAATCTATAGTAAAAAGAAAAAAAATGCCTAAGAAGATGAGACTAACTGGGAAGGGACTAGAAGGAACTTTCTGGAATGATGAAAATATTCTGTATCTTGATGGGTGTTTGAATTACCAAGGTGTGCATGTGTTAAAGCACATTCAATGAATGGTCCACTTAGAATTTGTGCATGTCACTGTATGTAAATATTACCTTACAAAAGAAACGCAGACACATTTTGTTGATATGTATGCTGAAATGTTTAGAGTTGAATTATACGTAAGTCAGCAATTTATTTTTATTTAGTTCTTTTTTTTGAGATGGGGTCTCGCTCTGTCTCCCAGGCTGGAGTGCAGTGGTGCAATCTTGGCTCACTACAACTTCTGTGTCCCAGGTTCAAGCGATTCTTCTGTCTCAGCCTCCCACGTAGCTGAGATTACAGGTGCCTGCCAACACGCCCAGCTAATTTTTGTATTTTTAGTAGAGACAAGGTTTCACCATGTTGGCCAGGCTGGTCTCGAACTCCTGACCTCAAGTGATCCACCTGCCTTGGGCTTCCAAAGTGCTGGGATTACAGGTGTGAGCCGCCACATCCAGCCTGCAATTTACTTTAAAATGCATCAAAATATAAGATGGCTTGCTGGATGGGTAGATAGATATATGTGATAAAACAAATATGCAAAAGTGTTAATGATTGTCAAATTTAAGTGTGGTGATGCAGTTGTCCACTGTATAATTTTTCAACTTTTCTATGTATTTGAAATTTTTCATTTAACATTTTTTGGGGAAAAATAGGTATTGAAAGATTACCTCCCAAAGAGATTTTGCCAAGTCATACTCCAACCACAGCATGGGAGAAGGCTTGTCTCCCCACAGTGTTGCCTGGACTGACTGTGAAGACATTTTCATCCTTATTTTAAGAGTATCTCACCATCTTATTCCAAAATTATTTTTTACTTTTTTTTTTTTTTTTTTTTTTGAGATGGAGTTTCACTCTTGTTGCCCAGGCTGGAGTGCAATGACACGATCTCAGCTCACCACAACCTCTGCCTCTCAGTTTCAAGCGATTATTCTGCCCCAGCCTACCGAGTAGCTGGGATTACAGGCATGCGCCACCACGCCTGGCTAATTTTTGTATTTTTAGTAGGGATGAGGTTTCACCATGTTGGTCAGGCTGGTCTCAAACTCCCAATCTCAGGTGATCCGCCCGCCTTGGCCTCTCAAAGTGCTGGAATTACAGGCATGAGCCACCACGCCCGGCCAATTTTTGTATTTTCAGTAGAGACGGAGTTTCTCCATTTTGGTTAGGCTGGTCTCGAACTCCCGACTTCAGATGATCCGCCCCCCCACCTTGGCCTCCCAAATATTTTTTACTTTTTATTTTATTAAGACAAGATCTCACTCTTTTGCCCAGGCTGGAGTGCAGTGGCGCGATCTTAGCTCACTGCCACCTTCACCTCCCAGGATCAAGCGATTCTCCTGCCTCAGCCTCCCAAGTAGCCAGGATTACAGGTGCGCACCACCACGCCCAGCTAATTTTTGTATTCTCAATAGAGACAGGTTTTTACCATGTTGGCCAGGCTGGGCTCGAACTCCTGACCTCAGATGATTCAGCCTCTCAAAGTGCTGGGATTACAGGTGTGAGCCACTGCTCCCATCTCTAATATATATTTACATGGGAAAAAAGCAAGATGAAGTCCAGTTTACAGACTTACCTGTTCAAGTACTGTTCAATTAACGACTTTCACCATAAACACTCTTAAAAAGCTATATAACTTCTTGGCAACACTCCTTTTTTTGGTTGAGTGACTTTTTCATCTCTAAATACACTGGGTAAACATGATATAAGGAATGACATTTGACATTACACTCTCACATGAAGACACACTCACTGATTTACTGTGCAACAGTTTCTAGTCCAACACCACCATATGGAACAAATCTGCATTGCATGTCATGTTTGGATAAATCCCAAATGCCTGCTTTTGCTTATGTACGCCGATCGCAAGGGCTGAAACTTCTGTGATTCTGAAGTGGGATGAGCGCACAGGCTATTTCCATGTGTTTGGAAGTGCTTTTGGGTTCAGTATTTATTTTGCCCTCAAGGTGTTTCTCTGTGACTTTTGCTATGACTTCATTTTTTATTTTTATTTTTTGAGATGGAGTCTCACTCTGTCGCCCAGGCTGGAGTGCAGTAGCGTGATCTTGGCTCATGGGTTCGAGCAATTCTCCTGCCTCAGTCTCCAGAGTAGGTGGGATTACAGGCGCACGCCACCACGCCCGGCTAATTTTTTGTATTATTAGTAGAGACGAGGTTTCACCATGTTGGCCAGGCTGGTCTCGTACTCGTCCTGACCTCAAGTGACCCGCCCACATTAGCCTCCCAAAGTGCTGGGATTACAGGTGTGAGCCACCACATCTAGCCCCCACTGTCAAATCTTGTCTTCTTCTTTTAATAAGGCCAATAAACCTTCATTACAATAAATTGTATATGGAAACTGTATTTTTATATTCAAAGTATTGTTTTTATTCATCTAAACTTGTTTTATTGGTCAATGAATACATTTTCCTAACAGTAAAAATCATCTGAGTATCTTCGGTTGGGTGGAATGCATCACAATTTTTTTAATGAAATCGATGCAAATATTTTTTCCAGTTAATGGTTGTTTACTTAGCAGTAGAGGTTTCAGAAAGAAAGTAAAATCATTACATGAAGGACAAGTATATAAACGACACTAGCTTCTGTATAAGGAAGGGAAGGAAATACATGCACACAAATATGTTGTTTTTAATTCACTAGGAAGATGTGACAATTTTAAATCTGTATGTATCCAGTAACATTTCAAAATATAAAAGCAAAAATTGAATTCAAAGGAAAAATACAAAACACTACAATGAAAGCGGGAGACTTCATTTCAACAATCCTTTTATGTTAACTACAAAAGCAGAGCAAAAACTGGGCAGGATATAGAAGACAGGAATAACACAATTAGCAAACTTGACCTGACAAACAGAACGCTGTACCCAACAATGGAAAAATAAACATTTTTTTCTTTTTTTTCTTTCCTTTTTTGTTTTTTTTTGTTTTGTTTTTTGTTTTGAGACGGAGTCTCACTCTGTCACCCAGGCTGGAGTGCAGTGGCGCGATCTTGGCTGACTGCAACCTCCGCCTCCTGGGTTCAAGCGATTCTTCTGCCTCAGCCTCTCGAGAACCTGGGACTACAGGCGCACACCACCATGCCTGCCTAATTTTTCTATTTTTAGTAGAGACGGGGTTTCACCATGTTGGCCAGGATGGTCTCAATCTCTTGACCTTGTGATCTATCTGCCTCGGCTTCCCAAAGTGCTGGGATTACAGGTGTGAGCCACCGTGCCCGGCCCTCAGAAACATTATTTTCAAGTACATGTGAAACATTTACCAAAATTGACCATATGCTAGGTCACAAAGCCTCAATAAATATCAATGAATTGAAATAACTCAGAATATGTTCTCTGACTATACTGGAATTTAAACCAATAACAAAAAGAAAACTAGAGGCCCGGCACAGTGGCTCGCGCCTGTAATCCTAGCACTTTGGGAGACTGAGGCAGGCAGATTGCTTAAGCTCAGGAGTTTGAGACCAGCCTGGGCAATACAGTGAGACTCCGT